CAGCCAGGTACTCAGCCCGCCACCCAGGCATCTGCTCTGACCAGGAATTGAACTGGTGACCTTTCACTTCACAAGGTGACACCCAGCCCACTGAGCCACACCAGTCAGGGCAAAAATTAAGTATTCTTTTTTTTTTAAATTATTTTTTAACTACAGTATTCTGTGTTTTACTCCCATCCCAGCTCACCCCCCAAAAATTAAGTATTCTTAAGGGCTGTATAGTAAAAAGTAATTCTCCCTTCCAGGAAGTTACCATAATTATGTTTCTTTATTCTTCTAAATACATTCATCGAATATCACTTTTGGTCAATATGTTTTAACTAAGATTTTCCCAATCTAAGAAGGGACGTCAGTCATTTTGCCTCAGTGTAAGAAGGTTCAAGAGACAGGGCAAAGTTGCTTCACTGACCCCTCAGGTATCAACATTAAAAACCACAAGTCAGCCCTGGCTGGTGTGGCTCAGTGGACTGAGTGCTGGCCTCTGAACCAAAGGGTCACCAGTTCAATTCACAGTCAGGGCACGTGCCTGGGTTGCAGGCCAGGTCCCCAGTTGGGGGTGTACAAGAGGCAACCATGCATTGATGTTTCTCTCCCTCTCTTTCTCCTTTCCCCCTCTCTGAAAATAATAAACTCTTTAAAAAAACACAAGTTATAATTTGGGGGGCCCAGTGCAGAAGTAAAAATCCAGGCCTGTAGTAAGCAGGGCCCTAAACCAGAGGGGGGCCCTTCCACGCGGAGCCCCGTGCAAACGCGCAGTTTGCACACCTGGGAAGCCAGCCTGCCCGCCCGGCCCTCGGCTTGCGTGTTCACCCTGACCGCACCGGGTCCAATGCTAGTGTAAAGATGCCTGTCTTTACATGGCTCCCTGTCACCTGTGACTTAGAGCTGTTGTCTGAGCCATCGCCCCGGCCCGCCGTCTCCCCCAGGGAGGAATAGTGGGTTAAGTGGGCAGTTGGAAACATCAGTGATCCCCAAACTCAGACCTAATGGGGTTACAGCTAATTGGCTTCTTCCTGGTGGAGCATTTGGTGGGAGGAGGAAGAGTCAGACTGGTATAGCAGGGAGTTATAAAAACTGATGATTTGGTTAAATGGGGTGAGGGTTTGGGGAGGAGGGAATTGCAGCTACATAGCCAGTGGGCGTTCAGGTCTACGACAGATCTTAGGATGTATCCCCAAAGGGGAAGAGAAGGGGGCTTGGCATGGTGGCCTCCATGTTGAGTGTTTCCAGCCCTGGGGCCAGTGGGAACAAATAGCTTAACATTTACAGAGTGCCCTGTCGTAAGGTATGCATGTTAACATATTTAACCTTCACCACAATCCTACGAGGTAAGCAATTGTATTAATCCCATGAACCAGGTGTAGGGACCTCCCTCAAGCTCACACAGCTTGTAGGTATTAGAGCTGGGAATCCAACCCACTGGGTGCATAACCCTGCAAGGGCCTGCCCTGGAGCTTTGAAAAGTACTGCATTGATGTTGTGAATAATCTTTTTCAGTGTGTTGAACATATAATTGATAATATCAGTTGTCATTTATTTGGTGCCCAGTATAGGCCAGACACTGTGCTCGGCACCATCTGTCATGCTATGCCAAGTACCATTTTACAGGCGAGAGGCTGGGCCCCAGAGACCGGCCCGGCGCCGCTCCCTCCCCAGGAAGAATTGGCCAAGAATCAGGGAGGATTCAGGGCCTGTGTGATAGGTTCTCTGCCTCCGCTCTTTCAGCACCTCTGTGTTCACCTGAACATCTTGAACATTTCTACTGGTTCAGAGTGTCTTAAATTGTGTCCCGATGCTTTGGGTGGTTACGCTGATTTTTTTCCTTTCCACAGTACCTCTAAGACACATGAATAAACTCCATCTATGCTCCTGCCGAATTCCTGTTTTATACCGTTGTTTCTATTCGGGGCAAACAAACATGGTAACTCCACTGCCTGTTGAATGCAAGCTTCTCAGGGTCTTTTTTTTTTTTCCTTGCCAGCATTTTCCTACTGTCTTGTTGGCTAGTAAAGAATTCAGTGAATAATGGCGTGATTAATCTGAAGTCTGTACCTGGAAGTTCAAGGTGTGGGAGGTGGAACCTTCTAATGAACGACCTGAGCAGAACACAGAACAATTGAGGAAGGAGAAGATAAAGTTTTGGTGGGGGCTTAGGATGCTGTCCTGATGGGTAAGACCATTTTAAAGACTTACTTTTCTTAAAAATCTCATTTATTGATTTTTAGAGGGAGAGTGAGAAACATCAATTTGTCGTTCTACTTACCTATACACTTACTGGTTGATTCTTGTGTTTGCCCTGACCAAGAATCGAACCCGTGATCTTGGTGTATTGGCATGATGCTCTAATGAACTGAGTTATTTGGCCAGGGCTGTCCAAGTTTTTTTAAGAGGAAGATTCAGATGCTTCCTTGACAGATTTTCCTGGCAGTCCATGTTGTCAAGACAACAAGATCTGTTTGCATAGAAATGGGTTTCTCTGGTGTTCTTGGAGGAGAAAACTCAGAAAGCCAAGCCGATTCTTGCTTTTCATGTCACTAAGAACGAAATGGTTTGAGTGGGGTGATTTCTATCCCAAGAGGGGCTGGATGTTGATGAAGGCCCATTTGTGATGTCCTCTGCGTTGTTTTAACTCAGCTTCATAAGAAAGGTACGTGGGCGACGGGGTTTTTAGCTCTGTGCCAGGTGCCGTAATAGTTTACACCTCTGAGTGCTCATGTGCCAGGCACTGCACTATTATCTCAGCACACACAATGGTATTCGAACCCCAAGGACGGCCTGCGAGCTGGGTTTATTATCCCCATTGGACAGCCGATGAAACCAAAGCCACTCCTCCAAGGCCACAGTGCTGAGAACTCTCAAAGCTGGGATTGGAACTCAGTCGGCCTGACTCCACAGCCGCTGCTTTCAACCACAGAGCGGAAGGTAAACATGAATCAGCTGTCGTACCTAGCTACACTCCAGGAATTTACAGCTCTATGGGCTAGTCAGAACGCATGCGTGAAAGGAAGAAGGAAGACAGGGTGGTGGAGCGTCAAAGAAATAGTATGGATCCGAGAGGAGAGAAAACAAGGGGGCCCCGGGTCACAGCATTTCAGGAAATGCTTCCGGAAAGAAGTGGATTCGGGGCTAGTGTTTAGATCAGAATGGGCTCTTTCTTACCGTTCTCACATAATTGGCTTTTAATTTCACACAGCTGTGCACAGAGCGATCTAAATTTCTGCCTGTTAACTCAAGTTCTAAGAAACACGGGTAATTCAGTAACATGATGTAAACGTATAGAATTGTGTATTTTAACACGTAACAGGAGAAGACATCAACCAATATCTATTTTGGCTTCTTAAGCAGGACTTGCCAAACTCTTGTCCGTGGGCTGAATCTGGCATGTCACCTGTTTTTATAAGGTCTGTTAGCTCAGAAATGGCTTATACATCTTTTTTTAAAGAGAGAGGGTAAGGGAAGGAGAGAGGGAGAGATATATCAATGTGTGGTTTCCCCCACTGGGTTTCCTCTCCCGGGTCCCCCACTGGGAACTGGCCTGCAACCCAGGCATGTGCCCTGACTGGGAATTGAACCGAGGTTCTCTGGTTCACAGGCCTGCGCTCAATCCGCTGAGCTACAGCGGCCAGGGCTATACATCTTAACTGGTTGAAGAAACATCAAAACAATAACTTTCCGTGATCTGAAAATTATGTGCCAATCAATTTCTGGTGTTGTAAATAAAGTTTTATTGGGACACAGCCACGCCCACTCGTTTACTATTGTCTTTGGCTGCACAGTTGTTGCCAACCAACACGTGTGGTCTGACAAAGCCTAAAATATTGGCTCTCTGGCCCTTTACAGAAAAAGTTTGCTGACCCCCGTCACAAAATCAGACGCATTCAGAATGTTCTCCATCAACCCCAATACATATTTTGGGGGAAGAAAATAGGAAAAAAACAGCACCATTAGAAAAATCCACCATTCAGAATTGACCGTTAACATTTTACCATTTGCTTCAAATCCATTTATAAGTAAAGGGCATACAACTCGACGACGTTCTAGTCAATTGACTAGAACACGCTTCACCCATCCATCGCTCCGATGGTTCCCAGGTCCTGACTATTCACCGCAGAGGCGCGCGCGCTGCGGCGCGTCGGGAGGGCAGGGCGCCCCGCAGCGGCGCTCCGGACTGTGCGAGAGCGCCCCCGCCGCCTGGAAGTACCGGAGGCGCCGAGCAGGAGCGGGCTGGAGATCCACGCGGCGGACAAGAGGACTTGGAACCTCTCGTTAGTTTGGCTCTCCACTCCCTTCTCAGCTCTTGATCGGCCTTCTGGCTTCTTGGCAGAATCCGTGAGCCACCCCGGAACTCTCCGTTCAAGGCCGGCAGGCCTGGCGGCCTTGGAGGTCTCCTCTCTTCTCCCCCGCGCAGCGCTGACACCCCGCTGAGACACTAAACCCGCGCTAAGGCTCCAGCCGAGTAGAGCGCCGAGAGGGGTAGCATGTTTGGTAAGGATATGATGTTTTCCACGCAAAGCATCGGAGTAGTTTTCGGGGAAAGGCAGACTTCACTGGGCTTCGTTTAGTTTGGTGCATCCAAGTGGAATGGGGGTGGGGAAGGTACACGGTCCCTCGGCGTTGAGGGCGGGCCCCGGGCGGTGGTCAGGTGGGTGTGGACCGGGGCTCCCCCGAATGGGTGTCCCGCAGCCTTGGGGGACTTCCCGGAACTCAGCCGCCGCCCTAGCCTTCCTTCCCCTGTTTGGCTGAGCAAAGCTAAGCCAACCCGCCGAAGGGTGCCGCGGCCGCCGCGGGGAGGACCCGGGCAGGTGCACGCGGCGGGCGGGGCGAAGTTGCCGCGCAGCCCAAGCGCCCGTGCCCCAGGCAGCGCTCTCCGCTGCTCGCAGGTCCGCGGCCTCCTTCCACCCCCTCCCGCCCCGGCCTCACCCCCCCCCCCCCGCGCACCCCGCGCCGCCTCCTCCCCTTTCTTCTTTCTCTCCGCCTCGCCGTTACTTTCGCCTCCGCGGGCTCCCGCCTCCCCGCCCTCCCCGGCGCCCGGCCAAGCGGCGGGGACGCGCGAGCGACGCGCGGCTGACGCGGGCGGGGCCGGCTCTGCGCCTGGGTTTCAGCGGCCGCGGCCAATCCCCGCGCAGCCCGCGGCGGCGTCGCGCCTGAGCCGGGACTCGGGCGGCACCTCCGGCCCCCGCCCCCCGCGCGCCCGCTGGGGCCGAGCCGAGCGGAGCGGAGCCGGAGCTGGGGGCACAGAACCAGGGAGACCGCGGCGCGGAGCCCAGGTGAGCTTGGTGGGAGCCGGGTTGTGGGCTGGGGACGCAGCCACTGCATCCCCGGTGCTCTCCGCCTCTGCCGGCGGGGGAAACCACTGCCGCCTTTGCAGACAAAGCCCTGAGGCGGGTCCTGAGCTCCCTCTACCGAGGGAACCCCACGTGCGCCGCCCCGCGCCCCGCCACGTGGGGGCGAGGTCCCTGGCGCCCCTTCCTCCGCATCCTCTGAGCTCCCGGGCCTGGGGTGGCCTCTCGGCGGGACCGCGCCCGGCCCCGGGTTCAGGGGCGGTCCCGGAGTTTGGAACTGAGGTCACGGGGGGGGGGGGGGCGGGCAACCCGGGCAGCCCAGGATTTTGGAGGCGGCCTAGGCCCACCCCCTCCCGTGTGACAGGTGGGGGGAGCTGGAGCACGCAGGGGAGGAGAGGGCCCATGGACTCGGAGCACCCCACCCCCTCACCCCTCTGGTCTTGGGGGCAAAAGCAGGCCCTGGGAGGTTGGACACCAGGCGGCAGGACCCTAGGCCAGTCCCTGTGGGGCCGGGGACCATTGCCTCTCCTCAGTTGGCCACTGGCCCCCGCCCCCCGCCGCCCCCAGCCCCTGAGTCTCTCTGCTAGAACCTCACCGGCTCTGTCCTCTTGACCTAAATTCACCCCGGGGCCGCAGCAGGCTCGCTGTGCCTGCAGAGACTCGGGGATGCTGGGCCCGGCCCCACTCAGCATTGGGTCTTGGTGCCTGAGGTGCCTCCCGCTCCCGCCCTGAGCTTTTTCTGGCTCCCCACCCCCTGCACCGCCCAGTTTGGGAAGTAGGGTGTTTTCACATCTCTGCCAGCCATCCTGGCGGTTCTTTGTGTGCGCCAAAGACGGTGTACCCCAGCCCCTCCGACCCCCTCTCCCCAGAAGGTTGGGGCAGGGGGATGGCGTTGGGAGGGGGCCCGGAAACTCAATGCTGTCCGAAAGAGAGGGGCGTGCTGGCCTCAGGCTGGGACATGCAGGGTCCACCTGCTTCGAGGCAACTTTTGCCTTCCTCAGCCCATGGTCCCCTCGGCCCTAGGGACAGAAACTTCACGTGCCCTGGAGCTGCGCCCCTCTCCGGGCTCTTTGTCCCCATAGGCGTCCTGGTTCCTTCGGGGAGGCAGGGGCCACAGGAAGAGGAGGGCTTGGGGGGAGGTTAGACCCCTCCTCCCCTCAAAACATGCAGTTTAAGAACAAACAGTGCACGCACATATGCTGTGCAAGTGCAGCTTCTCCGTGAGCCCGGACCCTCCATTTAGGTTGCTACTCACAAACCCTTCCTAGGTACAGAGCAGCCATTTGTAGTGAGAGTTTTTGTTTTTTAAAACAAAACCAGCCACCATTAGACGAGCTCCTGAGCACTGTGCTGTGGGTTGCATGCATTATCTCATTTCATGCCTGAACGTATCCTACGAGGCTGTGATTTTCATCCCCATTCTCCAGATAAGGAGATCGACGCTGGAAAGAATCCTGCAATGTTGCTAGGAGTTGGCTCCATGTATGGCCGGGCTCAGAGAGGTTAAATAACTTGCCCAGGGTCACACAGCCAACCCAGGTATGTTAGGTCCTCGAGCCTTTGCATGTTTTGCTACTTGTTCTAGAACAGGGACCCCTGCAAGCGTCCCTGACCCCAGCCTCTTGAGGAGTCCTTTGTTTACTAAACCTGGAGGACACAGATGCAAGTGGACATGGTGATGCTGGTCAGCTGAGGCTTGTTTTGCTCCTGGGTTGTTGATGGTCTGGTAGCCAAATATATTTACTGATAACTGTGCAGTAGCTCTCATCAGGGGCGGCCCCACCTCCTGGGGAGTGTTTGGAAAAGTGTGGGGGCGACTCCGATTGTCAAAATGATGCTGAGCTCTCCTGGCTTTGGGTGGGCAGGATCCAGGGATGCCAGATGTCCTGCAAGCAGACCAGGTCTTCAGCAGATGCGGTGAAGCCCTGCCTGGCCCTTGACGCCAGGAGGAATAAGTGCTGTGGGAATGAAGGGAGCAGAGAGCAGGGAGGCTGCCTGGTGTCAGTCCAGGGGGCTCCCCAAAAGAGGTGTTATTTGTGCTGAGCCTTGAAGAGTGGGCTAAAAAGTGGAGTTTGGATGGGAAGCAGAAGGGAGGGAGATAGAATGGGCTGACCTGGCGGGGGAAACTTCCTGCAGTCTCGTGGAGCGCTTGAGTCCAGATCCAAGATGGGCTGGTGGGGGGAGGCCTCTCTCCCAGGAGGAAGGGACGGCCAGGTGGGGTAGGTCAAGCCTATTTTCAAGGCATTTGGGCTCAGATTTTATCTATGCATTTATTTTTAGAGAGAGGGGAAGGGAGAAAGAGAGGGAGAGAAACATCACTTGGTTGTCTCTTATACATGCCCTGACTGGGGACCAAACCCACAACCCAGGCATGTGCCCTGACCAGGGATGGAACTAGCCACCTTTTGTTTTGTGGGGCAATGCCCAGCCCACTGAGCCACACCAGCCAGGGGTGGGCTCAGATTTTTAATCCAGACCACAGAGTCACCCTTATTCTGCCATGAATTCATTTGATGGGAGGGCTCCGAGAAGTGCAGTAACATGCTTGGGTGGGTCACTGGGGACTGTCTCCCTGGCACGCCGCCTTCTTGTGGCCGTGGGTACCATGTGGTTCCCATTTCCTCTCCCGATCCTGAAGGTTTGGGGCAAATGCTGTTTGAGATTTTCCTTTGGGTCACTTCACCCCCACCTGCTCCTCCCCAGGAATCCTCACGGCCTTCCAAGCCCACCAACACGGGGCAGTGCCCAGGGGTCCCACAAGTGTCATTCTTAGGGAGTTTTGATGTCCTTTGGGCCTTGTGTTGCTATTTTTCGCAGCTGTTTTGCTTCCCTAATAGCTCCTCTCTCTGGACTGGGCTGGCGAGCCTGGCTCCACCTTGCCTGTGCTGCTGTGAAAATCCCCGATGGAGTGGACTTTCCTCCTTTCAGGCTGTGCGGCTCACCCTCCCGACCTGTTGGTGACGGGGGACCTTTGGCGTCCGGCTCCTCTGTGTGTCTGGCTCATCCATTCATCTGTTGCCGGGCTCGCTGGTCGTTTCTACCGCAAGGGCTTCTTAAGGCCACTTTATTCCTTTGCTTCTGCAGCCCCACAATTAATAAACCGCTGGGCATAAGACATTACTTTAAACATTTGTTTTTAATATTTTTAAAAAATTATTGATTTGAGAGAGAGAAAGAGAGAAATACTGATTTGTTGTTCCACGTATTTATGTGTTCACTGGTTGATCCTTGTACATGCTGTGACCGAGGATCGAACCTGCAACCTTGACTGATTAGAATGATGCTCTCACCAACCGAGCCACCTGGGCCAGGGCAGGGCATCGTTTTTGTCACTCCGTTTGCAGGGAGAGGGTGATGGAAGAAAGATTCTCTGAAGTCAGCTGGGGACCAGCTTCCTGGAGCTAGGTTTTGGGGACCACCTTAACTTCACCCCCACCTGCTCCTCCCCAGGAATCCTCACTCCCTTCCAAGCCCACCAACACGGGGCAGTGCCCAGGGGTCCCACAAGTGTCATTCTTAGGGAGTTTTGATTTCATTTAGGTCCATTCTTTCCAGTCACCACGATTTGTTACTTGTAGGTCCCCGTGTGATGTCACTGGTGTGTATTTTGTAACACTTTTCCAGGTGTATTTTCAATACACGAAGTAAAGAAAGCTTCACTGGGTAGATCATGCCCTCACCCCATGGACAGGCGTGGAGTCAGCTCAGTCTCTCCCGAGGTCCACTCGAGGGACTGAGCATCCCGAACACCGAGCTGGCTGGCAGGAAGCCCAGGGAAGACCAGCCCCTCAGCCCCTCCCATTTGACAGCTGGGCTCTTCTGGGAGCCTGGACTGGGAGCCAGGCCGTGTGTGGGGCACGTTCATACAGAAGGTCCACTCCACAGTCACCCACACCGGGGGTCGTGGTGGCTCCATTTCACGGATGAGAACATCAAGGCCCAGGGCTCCCTGGGTCTGTGTGGTTTCTCTATGGGCTCTAGAGTGTCCCCAGGCCGCCTCCTGCTGGCCAGGGAGACCCCTTTTCTCAGGGTGGGTGCCACCACCTCCAGGAGGTTGTGCGTGGAGATCATTTCTGAATGGTTTTGCTCTCTGAAAAAATAAGAGTTCGAATGAGTATTTTTTCCATCTTCCCTGATTGGCTCCCTTCCAGAACAAAATGGGGCGGGGGCGGGGGCGGGGCGCAGGCAGGGGGTGGAAGGAGGCGGGAGAGGAGGAAGGAGCCAATGCGGAGAGACTTGGCCGGGAAGACCCACCCCCTGCTCTGGCATTCCCTGCTGGGTGATGTTAGTGACCAAAATGGGGAAGGAATGGTTTCAGCCAATGTTTTTGGTTTCAACTGTGTTTGTAGTGTTGCTGCTGATTTTTTTTTCAATTATGAAACATTTTAAGGTTAGAGAAAAGCCACAGTTTCGTACTGTTGACCGGCTCATGTGTTTGGAAGGCTGGAAGGAGGCCCCAGAGGTGATGGGAAGGGGGCAGAGCAGGGCGCTGTCTCTCAGCCCTGGTGAGCTCTCCCTGAACCCATACTTTTGGGGGCTCGTGAGAGGCCCTGCCCTGGGAACGGAGGAATGTGGGGGCTTGGTCCCTGTCTCCCAAGAGCTCCCAGGCGAGTGGTCTGTGAACTGTTGGGGAATGCTTTGGAAAAGATAAACGATGCCCTTTTGAAGAGGAGAGAAAGAAAATTCCAAAAGCCTGTGGTGCTCCCACCCCCACCCCCTCCCGAAACTATTTTTATGTTGTCTCTCTTTCTCCTGTTGGTTTCTGTAAATAGTTCATAGATGGCAGTGGGAGAGAGGGAAATGCTAGTCACAAGTTGGAGGGGAGAGAGGGATGCCCGCCCCCCCCAGTGTGAGGAAGCGGGAGGCGGGGACCCCGGGAATCTGAAGTCTTTGTGGCCGGGACACAAGGTGGGAGGTGAGTGGGAGGGGGGCCCTGCAGGATACCCTCCGCAAGAGTTTAAGGGGGGAACCAGAGTTTTGAGTTGGGGGGCAGGGTGTGGGGGGAACGGCACCTACCTCCCTTAGGCCTTCCTAAAGGTCCTCTGGGATTTTGTCTTCAGTGCCTCTAGAGGAGAGAGATTTCCTTTAGTTCCATTACAGACAATTGTTTCATACTCTGAGTCCAGGTGTGGGGGACAGGGCTGGACGCCCCCCCCCCCCCAGTTGCTCCTAGCGCCTCTTTGCCCGGGGCTGGGGTTGCTTTGTGCTGGAGGCTGGAAAGGGAGAGAGAGGGAGAACTAGACTGAGCATCACCCTCAAAGGCAGGGCGGAGGGAGGGAGGATGGCCGTGGGTGGGCAAGGCGAGGGTGCCTGTGGCTCCGAGTTGGCCCCCTGTCTCCGATGTGCTAAGCAGGAAAGTGTTAGAGTCGAAGTCTCTTTTCGTTACAAATTGCAGTTCCAGTGGTGTCTTTGCCTTTTTCTTCCATTCAGCGAGAGATTGGGAGGGACTCAGTGGATGGAGAGGAAGGAAATAAGGTTGTTTCGACCTCCCTTTCCAAATTCCCCCCCATCCCTGCAGTCACACTTACTCGTCTTCGAGGCTGCAGGCACATACCTGTCGCTAGATATCCGGCTGCATGATGGGGGTCCCTCCTCACGGGGCTGCATTGCCTGGCAGGTCAGTAGCCGCCTGGCAACTCTTAACACCACTGAGCTTGTTGCTCCTTGAGCATCCAGGGCTGCTGGGAGCGTGGGCTGCAGGGGTTGGGGCACCAGGTCCTCGTCCAGCCCGGCTCGGAACCACTCTGCCACCTCAGGGAGGTCGCCCTGCTTCCCTGGGCCTCAGGACCACACCAGCAGCCCCGGTGCGCTGGTCTTGATTGAAGGCTGGGAGAGCGTGCAGGTTCTTCTGGTACACGTGAGCCAGGGTGTGAAGTGACGTCCTTATATTACTCTTTAACTTTGTGGAAGAGCGGTGCCTGTGGACAACAGTTGGAAGATGAAGAGTGAGGTTAGGATGGTGGGGCTAGTGATGCAGAACTTTCTAGTCAACAGCTTCTGTTTGGGGAGCGTTTGCTGGGTGCAGGGGCCCTCGAGGTGGGTCCCCAAGGTGATGCGGTTAAGGAGGGAGGGATGTACGCCTGGTCACCAGGTTCTGCCTCTCTGGGAGCCTTTCCTTTCACACCTGTGCTCTCCCAAAGGCGCTGTGCAGCTGTGGGCACGTCACTCAGACCCAGTGTGCCTCAGTTTCCTCACCAGTGGAATAAACATGGTAACAGCACCTGACTCAAAGTTGGGGTGATGGCGTGCTTAGGATAGTGCCTGGTGCTTGGCACACACTAAAGAGGGCTGGCCATCACTGTTACTGCGCCCACAGCTACCAGGCTGCCGTTTCCGTGATGCATGTCTCTGGCTGAAAGTGCTAAGTTAGGCCCCGAAATGCCAAGGTTGCGTTTCAAGGTTTGATCCCCAGTCTGGGCACGCATAAGAAGCCATCAGTGAGCACATCACTAACGGGGGCAACAAATCTGTGTTTCTTTTTCTTTCTCTCCCTCTCTCTCTAAAACACAGGTGGCAAACACAAGGCCCACGGGCCGAAT